GGGTATCATCAGGCCAGTAACTGACAGATACCTTCAGATGCCCAGAACATTGTACTTTGAGGGCAAAGTAGGGAAGTGCCCCTCAAAACAAACAGAAGCTACACTACCCCACAAAAAACCAAGAATTACAAATGACAGTCGATTAAAATGCACTTACGGCGTCATGAAAACAATTTATGCTCTGAGGAGTCAGGTTTCACCAAGCCCCGCCCCAGCGAGAGCAGGGACCCAGTGACATCCCACCTCGTCAAACAGGGAGAACATGCCCTCCAGCGAGTCGGACACAGGCGCCTCCAAGTAGGCGGCAAACTCGCACAGGTTGACCTTTTCGCCCTTCTGCAGCGTGGCGCTTTCTGAGTATCTATCCAGGTCTTTTTCAAGTTTTTCTGGCTTTAACCTAAACACAAAGAGGAAAATATTCCTTTTTTTTTCAGTAAAATTACAGAATGCTAAAAAACAGGAGATTTACTATTGTAGTCTCCAAAACAAAATACTAAAATTGTTTATATAATAAACAGCAAGCTCAGTTTTGGAGAAAGCCTTTCTAAGTACGTGACGGCACCGACCCAATGCCTGTCAGGGGAGAACTCTGCTCCACAGGGGTTTCACCTCTGGGTGGACTCAGACCTCCAACCTTTTGGTCAGCAGCCGAGTGTGTAAACTGTGTGCACCCCTCCGGGACTCCTCCCCGGTCTGGGGATGTGTATTTCTCCCGCGTTCCCTGTGAACATCCACAGTGGCAAGCCTGGGCTCCAGGCCTTGGGAACAAGGTTAGGGAGTAGCCCTGGCAGGGCCCCTCAGAGCCTGGAGTCTCCAGCCAGCCACAGTGTTGGATGAGGCCACTTCTCACTAAGAGCTGAGGAGGAAGGAGGGGCTGGGCGCTTACCCAAGGCCTCTCACAAGCCTGGCAAATTCCAGAAGGCAAGTGTCCGAGGGTAGACGGAGCTGTCCTTCTGCCAGGGCCAGCTGGCAGTCCTCGAATGTGTAGTCCGTGACGGAGACACCCAGGGCTCTGCGGGACAGAAGAGTGACACCTTGAGCAGCCCAGTGGCTGCAGGGTGGCTTGTCCCAACCAACCCCTCAGGGATGCTCGGAGTCACACCACAGGGAAGGCCAGGGCTCAGACACCTGGAACACAGAAGGCTGAGTCTCCCCTAGTGTCTGCAGGACATGTCCTCCTGGGCTGCACCTCAGGGAGCAACCCGGCCCGGCACTAAGTGAGGGCCATCCTGTGAGCACAGTAACAGAGAAGGCCTGCCAAGAACTGGAGGGAGTCAGGCTGGGGTAGGGCCACTGGGACAAAGACAATGGCACCCACTGCATGGGGCTCTGGTCACCACTTGGTACCCCCTAAGCCTGAGAAAAGAGAATCACACAGCCGTGCAGGGTGGGGTGGCAGAGGCTGTCCCACCCCAGCCCCACTCTGGGACCCCTGGCCACCCACATGGGGGTGAGTGGCCACGAAACAGTTTGGGGCAGTGTGTCTACAGGAGTGCTGTCTGTGTGGTAAATGCTTTCCAGAGCTTTCAGTGTTTTTGCTTCATAGTTGACACAAAATATGTTTTTAAAGTTGAACGTTAAACAAGGAACATAACAGGAACACAGGTGGGAGCTGTGCTGGATTGAACTGGGTCCCCACCCAATCTGTGCTGGAATCCTAGCCCCTGGGCCTGGGGATAGGGTGGTCCTGTCTGGATATAAGATTTTGTTAAGCTATGCAGACAACACAACTTTGCTTGCTGAAAATGAGGATGGCTTGAATCACTTACCAATGACGATTAAAGACTATAGTCTGCAGTATGGATTACATAGCAATATAAAGAAAAGGAAATTCCTTACAACTGGACCAATAAGTAGAGAAAACACTCAAGTTGGTAAAGATTTCACATTACTTGGTTCCACAATCAACACCAATGGAAGCAGCAGCCATGACATCAGACGACGTATTGCCCTGGGCAAATCTGCTGCAAAAGACCTCTTTCAAGTGCTGAAGAGCAAAGATGTCTCCTTCAAGAGTAAGGTGTGCCTGACCCAAGCAATGGTATTTTCTAAACTACATATATACATGTGAGAGCTGGATAATGAATAAGGAAGACCAAAGAAGAGTTGATGCTTTTGAGTTGTGGTGCTGGCGAAGAATGCTGAAAGTACCGTGGACTGCTAAAAGAACTAACAGGTCTGTCCTGGAGGAAGTGCAGCCAGAACGCTCCCTGGAAGCGAGAATGGCCAAACTTCGTCTCATCTATTTTGGTCATGTTGTCAGAAGGGACCATTCCTGGAGAAGGATGTCATGCTTGGTAAAGTGGAGGGTCAACGAAAAGGGAGAAAGCCTGCAATGAGATGGACTGACACAGTGGCTCCTACAACGGGCTCAGGTATAGCAGGGACTGTGAAGCTGGTACATGGTCGGGCAGTGTTTCGTTCTGCTGTACGTAGGGTTGCTCAGCTGGAGACGGCTCGAGGGCACCTAACAACAACAGCGAGACCTCATCACTGCAGGGCAGGAGGGTCCTACACGGAACCACTTCTGAGCCATGAAGAGAACAGCTCAGATACAGACGGAAGCACAGGTGAGGGAGGCAGACCCGCGAGAGGCATGCCGGGAACAGAGAGGCGCAGCTGCAGAAGCTGAGACATGGCCCTTCTGTACCAGCTGCACGCACGTCTGCTGCGTAAGGAGCACGTGCCATCTTAGAGAATGTCTCCTAGAGTGGCCCAGGTAGCTCTTAAGCAGCAGGGTGGAGCGAGGGCACCGGGAAGCACCAGTGCATGTGGGCGAGTAAAGGCCAGTTGAACAGACACTCCCAGCAGATGCGAGGGTCTGCCCAGGGTTCGTTCCTGCTGTCATCCCCAATGGGGCCCATGTGGGACCCAGCACCAGGGGCTGCCGCCCACAGGCACGTTTGACAACTATAACATTATCGACTACGAGCATCGCCTGAAAAGGCTGAAATGTCGTTAGACAAAGTCTAGACGTGGAACGTGTGTGGCCAAGGCCACTCTCGCCAGCATGCAGGGTCAACACACAGGCACTCACTCCTGCAGGAACCTGACTTCCTAGTGCTACCACCCACTGCTTCTCATAGCAACGCTCCATGAGGGGGACCACAGGAGAGGGAGACTACAGCATGACAGTGAGGTCAGGGGTCATGAGAATCCCTTGCTGTTTAAAGGGACGTCTCTAGACGTGGGGATGGCGAGGGGCGCTCACTCACTCTGCCATGACGTGCCGCACGTTGCTGGCGTACAGTGCTGGGTTCCTCTTTTCCTCCTCCGAAGGGCTGTACACGGGGAGGAACTGTACACACAGGGCTGCGTTATTCCAGCAAGAACACGGAAGCCCCCCGCCACAGCCACCACAAGTGATGATAGTCTGACAACATGAACATCGGTCAGGGCACTTGCTGTGTGAATCCCCTTCAAAGCTTTCTCCCGTCTCCCTCTCACGCATACACTTGTACACACAGACACTTAAAGCACACCACTCTTCCCCGGGAGCTCCCACTCCCGCCTGTCAGTGTTTGAGGCTCATAGCATCATCCGTTCACCATATTTCTCCTTTCACGCAGACTTTAGTCTTTAATGCAACCAAGGATGTGCAAGTCTCCATCTCCAAACATCTCTGTTGGATACACTGGTTTCATGCCTCTGAGAGTAACTATTGCTACTTAGCTTTGTCATCTGTTGTATCTTGAAATGCGAATTAGTTGATGCATAAGAGTGTGACTCTATGTGAGTGACTTCTGCAAGGCTTCAGAGAAGCAAGGGTCTCAAACTCTTCATGAAGAGGCAAAGCCCACCACTGGAGCCCCCTTTTCTTAATGTGGATATGTAAGACCATAGGAATACCCAGAAATACCATTCATTCTCATTTTACAATTCTGAGCTGTAATTTTCCACTACAGGTTTTTAAAAAAGTCTGCAAACACCAAATGGCTTCCCACATGGGCAGGCTCCAGGCTCTGGTACAAAGAGCAAGAGGGCAAGACCAGACGGTTACTTTTCATTGTAAAATGAGAAACCGGGTCCAAAATACAGTTGTTCAAACAGGCCAACCAAAGAGCTCAGGGCAAGTCCCCAAGCTGCCCAAGCACCAAGCCCTGCGTCCTGCTCGGCAGCCTGGCCCCCAGGTGTCCGTCTGAGGCAACACCAGGCCAGGTCTCCTTCTGAACATAAAATGTCCTAAGTAACCAGGCCTGTCACCCTCAGATGTGAGCCAGGTCCTCTCTGCTCAGTCCCTTAAAACGACAGTGGCTTTATCTTATATATGAACCACTTGACTGAATCATCTGTAAATTCAGTATTACTCAGCCAGGGTTTGTGGAAGGGAGCAAACTGGTACATTAAACACCGAGCTGCACATGACTCCTTCAGTTGTCAGGGGTAGGAGTGGCACGTTAATTCCCTTTGTAAGAAAAGAAACTCTAGTCCTCACGCCCCAGTACAAGTGACCGGCTGTGGGAATGACTGCATTTCAGGTAACACACAGGACGGGGATTGTGACTGTAGGTACAGCCAACGGGGAGGTGGGAGATGGTGTCTGACAATACAGATTAGGAGCTGCAGCATGCATTCCTGCGAAACACAAATCAAATCAAAACCACCCAGTGCACTTCTGGCAATTTTACAGGTGTCGTTAAAAAGCCATGCAACTTAGACACCCATAAAACTGTCAGAGGTGCAGTTGTTTTTTTGGTTTGATTTGTGCATTAAGGAGCTCTGGTAGCACAGTGCCTAAGGCATTTGACTGCTAACCAGAAGGCTGGCAGTTCAAACCTACCAGCCACTCCTCGGAAGGAAGACTGGGCGATCTACTTCCATAAAAATAAAAAAAAACCCGAGGAGGTGTCGCTATGAGTCGGATCTGACTTGATGGCAGTGAGTTTGGTTTTTTTTGGTTAAGTTACATTAACCACCTTAGAAAAGTATCCAGTTTAGCTTCCTTCCTGATTTTAAAACTCTAGTTCAAATGGTTCAAACTCACCTAGGAGCCATGAAAATGGCAAAGAAATGGGAATAACCTTTAAGGACCCTTAAGGAACAGAAAGAAGTTCAAAGTCAGAGGATGCTAAATGACTTGGAACACTGTATCTAGGTAACATGTAACAATGTATCTAGGTGATACGTAACAATGTATCTAGGTGCTGAGTAACACAGCCAGTAGATACTACCCAATATACCAGGTAACACTGTGTCTATGGGAGCCCAGCCAATATATTCATATGGCACATAACAAATATCTGGATTATGTGCAACATTGTATGTTTACAAACCTCAATTTCCACCTGATTGTGAAACTGACACAGTGTGAGCCACAGGATTTCCAACCTGAAACAACACATGGAATGGATTTATGAAGTTGGTTGAAAAGCAAGATTCTTTGCTCCTTTCCCTTCAAGTCCTTCAAGTTGCCCGGGAGTCATTCTAAACCTGCTTCCCCTCTAGAGGGCACTACTGGGTCACGGATTCACCTTCATGGGAAGGAAGCTGAGACTTCTCAGTCTAAATCCAGCAGTTAAAACATGACTGGCAGCCACAAGGCGGGAGTGAGGACACGCCTACTGCTCACTAAGTCTTCACTGCTCTTTCTGCCCACGTGCACCTCAGCACCTTCAGGTGGTCCTGCCCTCCATCATCTCCCCGGTTTGCCCTCTGGCTCAGGGAGCCCTGGCTGCCCCGCACCTTGATCCCAGCCGGTGACCTGACAGCTCCCCTCTGGCATCCCACCCTCCGCCAAGCCTCGCTCCTGGAGTTCTGACCTCGAAGCCCACCCCGGCCCCTCTCGTTTGCACATGTTGGGAATGGGGAGTCATGCCGAGCCCCCTCCTTGGGCCTCACACTTACTCCCCGCTCACTGGCCAGTCTACCTCTCTCTCCTGGCCCTGTTTCTGCACTGTCTTCTGCATCATCACCACCAGCCCTGAGCTCCGATGTGGTTGTACGTTTACCCTCACAATGGGCTGAGCCTAATTACTGTCAAACAACAGTAGGTCACTTGTTTAAAGTGTTCACATTTACAAAGGTAACTAGCACACTGGTGGTCCACTTGGGCGGCCTCTGTAGCTCTCACGTAACACAACAGACTGGGTGACGTGGGGCCTGACTTACGCGCCGGGTCCTTGCCACGTCCACGTGATTGTGTCCTAGGGGCAATAAAGGAGAATTAGTCATGACTGAAAGTGGGTGCCCTAGCTCTTCACCGAGTGCTAGCAGTTGGCCCTTCCCATGGCCGGTGAACCCGTGGCCTGTCCCTGCCACGGCCTGGTGTTATCTGAGACTCCGCAGAGAAACGAGATGTTTCCCTTGTTCTCCTGTTTGCTCTTGGG